AGCCAGCGGGGCCCGGCGGCGGCGCTTCGCTCCTCGGTTTAATCACGGTAAAGGGGTTAACAGCCTGGTTAACGGGGGTTAACGGCCTGTAGCTCCCCGAGGACGAAAACACCCCAAAACCAACCCTCTTACTTTTGGTCCAAGTGTTTATTTGGAAGCTTATTGGGAAGCCCGTGTCTTTGTACGCCCATGCAGGATGCTGGAGCGGCATTATTCCTAGAGTTTCCTAGTAGAAGCACTCATTTCCCTTCTGCACGACTAAAAGGAACGGAAAGCACGCTTTTACAGACCACAGCGGGAGAGCAACCGCTTCACACATCAGATGTGGCAACGAGAGAAGTTCACACAGATAAATGCATCCTCTGTTGCCAGTTCTCTTGGAGGCAGCGCTTCCCTACTCCCAAACAGCAGAGTTCCTGTTAAAAACCGCTGCCCATCAGCAGTCAGATTCATCACCACTCAAAGCAGCTTCCTACGTGCCACTCACCGTCTTGCCCAGCTGGGGACTTGAGCACAAGAGAGCTTTTTCCAAGTCACATACGAAATAATACAGGAAGAAGTGGGAGCCTGAGGCTAGAGCTGCGCGTGAGCCAAAGTAAGCAATGCTTTCTTAGGAGAAGTCATTATAACTTGAAAAGGTTTCAATGTACAGAAATAGGCAGCTCCCAGAGTTATAGTACAACACGTGCAATTTAAGCAGTGGTTTTGAAACTACATAGAGACCAGTCTCCCAAAATAACAAACTGAAACTTAACAGCACAGAGAAACGCAATACCTAGTTTAAAGGAGAACCATAGCTGCAAAAACCTCAATGAAAACAAACCTCTCAAAAGAGCAGCAATTCTGACTTTCCCAAATTCTGGAAGTCTTTAAGAAGTAAAGTATCCCTGTTGGCAGGTTTAGAGCCAGCAAACGACACTGTATTGCCCAGCCCCACTCCTGTATTCTCAAACAGCAAACACAGCAATTCTGACTAGCACAGAGCAAAACAGAGCCAAAAGCAAGAGCAACACCAGCCAGGGCAGCACCCACAGCCCCACTGTACCTGAGCAAGGAGAGCTGAGTGTGTCCTGCAGAAACAGCTTTGGCCAGCAGCCCCGTGACTGACCCCCCGGCAGCTCTGGAGCAGAGGCAAGCCCAAAAGCACCCCAGAAGCTCCCTCTGCAAGTCCAGCTCACCAAAGACCAGAGCTGGGCCAAAGCTCTAACTTACATAGTGCTCCCGGGACACAGGTGAGGGTGCTGAGAGGGCACAGGGGAGGCTCGTCAGAACCATGATGAGCTCTCAGGGCCCACAGCTGCTGCTCAACCCTGGAAGTACAGTTTCCAAGCTGTTTGGAGGAGTGATGGGCACTGCTCCACATCAACTTTACTCCCTCCTCCCTTTACCATTAGTGGAATGGCCTTGAATTAAATTATTAAAGGTACATAAGTATCTACAGGACTAGAAGGGCCATAAACTCTACATAGGGAGAAAATATTTAAGATTGTATGAAGGGATAATTGTTAAATGAAGTTAAGCAAATGAACAAGGCTGAGTATAAAAGCTTGTCTCTCAACCAGTGACGCCTTCTGGCACACAGAAGAGACTTGTAGAAAGCACAAAGGCACTGGAGCCACGGAAGAGACTGAGCACAACACAGAGTTGTGAGCAATACCCAACTGCTGTGCCAGCCAGTGGAGTCCTCAATGCACCCAGATGATACGGAGGAACTGCGCTACCTAAAAAACAGGACAGCGGGTTTTACAAGTCTGAACCTGCTTCTGACGCTTATCATGTATGTCAGCCCTGTTTCCCAAAGCGTGGCCAGAAAAAGACAAACTGATAATTCTGCCTAGTCCCTTAACTGGTCATCTGCTGGATAGAGTACTTGGGATACAGGAGAACTGGATTCTGCTCCCTCGCCTCCGGGCTGTGTGGCTGGGCCTGCTCTGCACACAGAGCTCTGCTGAGTATCTGTGCATGCAGAGAAGTGGTGGATGCTTCTAGAACATCAATACATCCTTTCTTCTCGAGGCTGTGAACATGAACGATGGTAGGAATGCAATGATCATGATTGTCTAGTTGGCACCTTCCTACTTTTCTGGTACATGCTTAACTTTCCAACCAAGCCACGTGTCATCCAGGCTGCTGTAACATAGCTGTCTTTTATCATTTCGGATCATTGCTTGTATCTTGCACCACAATGCATCTTCTGGTTGAAAGCACAAACAAAATGATCTGATTAAGTAACCATTCATAGTCACTGTGGGTTATATGCCTTGTAGTTAGGTCATAGCAAACACAGTGCATATTCAAAATGGCTAGCAAGCTGTCCAGGGCTTGTAATTACTGGATGAAGCATATTCCATTGTGTACTTTCATGGCTCTAAGTAAGGGTACAGGCTATTCTGCATCAGTTACAGTTGAATTTGTCTCCACCTATTTTAAAGGCAATGCTTTTCTCCCTCTAGAAGAGCATCTTTTCTCTGTTGCTCCAAGGGAGGATTTACACCTGCTCACAGTACAGTGCTGTGTACTTTGCTTTTCCTTTTTGGGTAGAAACTTGCCAAAGAATTGCAGCAGAACCAGACTGCTCAGTATCTGCCTGTTCTTCATCTCTTCTGTTCAGAGCTGCTGTTTCATCTGTAAGCTCCTTAATTCTAAAGGGAAGTATTTTTCAGCATTTAAAGTAGTCACTGCTGGCACTAGCATCTATGCCATCCTGCATATATTCCTGTTCCCAAGTCATTAACACTTCTCAGTTGAGTAAAAGTGCTCACTCTCAACTATGCACTGAAACCTACACAACAACCAGGATCTTCCTGAGAAATGACACGAGTCACACAGATGGTGCTACCTGCCTCCCTTCTCATCAGGAAATCAACCAATGCACACCCCAAATCCTCCAGCTGTCAGGGAGCAAAGTGGTAAACACCAGCTAGAGAAGAGTGGATGCTCTCTCTTCAGTTTAAGCAAAGTTCTCTGGCAGAAAATCTCCTATCACCACAGGCTCTAAAACTAAAGCTCAACAATAAAAGGCACAAAGCCTCTAGCATTCATGAGACACTGAGCAGAAAAGTACCTCATCTCATCCTTCAGCAGCAGACAAAGTGGATTTTAGGAAAAAAGGCATGTAACAGCTGGAGAGGAACCTCTCTATGAAACGGAATAGGAAAGCACTGCACAAATTGGAAGGCTCATTTATGCCTTATATAAAAGATTTCTGAAAGCCTATATTTGTAATACAAGGATGGAAATATTTTCCTTCTAATGCTATAAAGCAGTACTTAAAGTCCAGGAATGCACAGCTTTTCCTGTATTCTGAATCATGCCCATTTAGAAACAAAGCACTTATTCCAGATTCCAGGACAAAGAATCCATCATTTGCTTTACATTTGCACAGCAATACCAGTTAGATGTGTAGATTTAATGAACAAACATGTCCAGTCTTACATAGATTACACCTTTTTGCATATCTTGAGCATCTTTCAAAGCTAGAGAACCATATGAAAGACTTCCTAAACAAATTAGAGGCAGAGCACACAGCTAAAGCAGTTCTTCCAGTAAAGACTAACAATGTAGAAGCATTTCTTCATTCTAAATTTGCAAACGGACCTATGTATTTCATTACTAAAATGCAGTGATTGAGAATGAACTTGTTTTCCATTATAATAAGCAATCATAAAAGGCACCTATGAAGTCATTTGCTGAAGGTCTGACTGTGCACTTGAGATGTATGCTGAACTAGGCCTCCAGGTGCTGGGGTAACTTCAGACTCCAGTGAGGTGCCGTCTCGTATCATTGCCACGTTAACAGCAGAGTTATGTGGTAAAAGAAAGGGAGCAAAGACAAAGATTGATCCCAAATTCTTAATTCACATGGGGACACAGCACCACTACTTCCTCCAGAGAGGAACTCGGAGCCCAGCAACTCCTCTAAACTGACATATGCTCACTTAAGCCAGGCTTGTTGCAAGTTCCAATTTATGGTAAGCAGAAACAGCACTGCTCTTGGTGGTAACCTATTAAATCCAAACTTGATGCTTTAGCTGATTATTAAATAGCTCAGTGGATCTGCAATCATTTAACACGGAGAAAATTCCAACAGTATCATGGGCAACCTGCTAGCTGCAGGAACTCCAGGGTGCTTGACAAGGCTAAGAAAACCCCACAAAGGTCATCAAGTCCAACTCCTGACTCCACACGGGACAATCTAGAAACTAAACAATGTATGTACGAGTGTAGTTCAAATGCTTCTTGAACAGAAAGGCTTGGGGCCAGGCCCACTTCCTCGGGCAGCTTGTTCCAGTGCTTGACCACCTTCTCATTTCAGCTCATACTTGAGGAAAACTGTGTGAGATTCTATAAAGTTGTTGTTTTGAATAGTACATTGCTAGCCATAGTGGTAAAAAAGGTTTCATAGGTCTGGGTTAGAAGGAAACATGCAAGGAAAAAAACCACACAAGCAGGGTTGCTTCATTTTTATTTACTTAGCAAACATTTTCCCGTGTGATTTAAATGCCAAGAGCTAACTAAGATTATTAGATGCTGACTGGTTTTTCATCATGAAGCTTTCTGCTAACAGGTTCTTTTTCCAGGAATAAAGACCATTGGTTTGC